AGTCATAGCAAGAGGAATAACAACAGACTCTTCCTCTAAATGGTGCACCTCAGCATATGAAGTCAAAACAGGAGGTGGATTAACAAAGGTTTCTCGAATAAGGAGTTTCATATCATTCCAAGTTTGAGGTTTATCAGAATGATCTAAAGACTCTCACCAAGATAAAATAGAATGTCGTAAAACACTAGCTGCATTTTTTATCTTCCTCCTTGGACACATAAAGCGAGTAGCAAATATGTTATCGATGGTAATTTCCCACTCCATGTACTCATCAGCACCTATACCATCATAAGTCGGTGGATACGAACAACCTGTCATTGTTAGAAGACAGCAAAAGACAACACAAAAGTATTATCCCTATCAACTACTATAGGATGTGGACAAGAAAAAATAAGGCACTCAACTCTCAAGCGTCTTACCACGGTCTTACAAGTGTTCTTACCAAAGCAATAGACAGTGCAATCGGTCAGTGACTGTGATACCGTTGTAGATTGAGTGTAACAGTTGCAAGGTGAACATGTACTTGGTTAGAAGAAAGTGGAGCTTGCACAGGCATAATATAGTAGCAAGGAATAGCAATAATTTAATTTAGAAATTGCAAGATTGAAAAGTAGTTCCAAGCTAGTCTATGTCGCCAGCCTAGACTCGTCCTGGACCAAGCTCAAGCAAGTAACAATACAACTCGGCATGAGGACTCAAAGGATGCAAACACTTCTGAATTTTTTCACTTTCTTTTTTGGTGCGGCTCTTTTGTTTTTCTTCTTTTTTTGCACCTCATTGCCTTTTTTTGTGCGGCTTTTTTTTGCACGTTTTGTCTTTTCCTTTTTTTAATCTCAGATAATGTGCCGTAAGGAACAAGAAATAGAACTGAATGATACACGACCGGAAAAGTAATCACAAGATAACAAATCTTCTAGCTTCAACGCACTAAGATATCTTCCACAAATATTAGAGTGTAGCAGTTGACAAATATATGCTCATAATCTGTACGTGGTGTGCTACTATCAACGTGACCATAAGGGACTCCTTCAAGGCAAAGAAAGGTCACGTGAAAATCAAAAGGGAAATAATTCTTTCCTGTGTTGATTGGCCAGAAATAAATAAACAAGGATATTCGGCCACAGATCACGCCTAAACTGCTATGCTCTTTACTGTTTTGATTGAGGCACGATATATTCTTGGAAAGAAAAATGACGGCACCTCCAACAACAAAAACCGATCTACAATATGTTTATGCTCTAAATTGTTGCTCGTATAGCAGAATAGAACTAGTGTACCATGGAACAAGGAGACCTAGACACGACGAACACGACATGCGAGGGACGACCGTTCAACAAAGCAAACTGAAATTAAAAAATATTGCAAGGCACAAAGGGGCTGTAGGATATGGAATATATGGCGGTGTATATGTTTTTTTGGCTTTTTGTAGACTATAGGTAAAACAAAAATAGTAACAATTTAAAAGACAAAAATAAAGGTATACCTAACGGGCAACAAGGTCTCTGATACCACTTGATGTAGACTAGGCCCGATCTTCCGAAAGGTATGATAGCGTCGATTGGTGGAGACTCGACGTTCACGATCTAGGCTTCGAACCAAGACTAATTCGGACCCCCGCAACCGTTACACCACTGCTCCGTTGGTTATCAACCACGCGAATGCGATTGACCTCGTCAAGAAGGCTTTCCTGCAAGCGAATCGAGAACACAAGCAAGAACGAGATGAACGCAATCTGAAATTACAAATAAATATGAGGCTTATGATAACGAGAAAGAGTTCAAGTCTTTATTCGAAAGGACTAATCGCCACAGGCGAACAAGATTAAGAATGGGCCCTGGTTCACAAACAAGCAGCCTTAGGCGGCACAGTTGCAACAAAAGCGATGTACATTTCACGAGGAAAACAAGAATTAAACAAAACACAGACCCTAAAAAGAGTGACGGCTGCTATTTATAAAGTCTTGGGCGTCACCCCCTGGACGCACCTCCTAATAGGCCCAAACACGATACACGGTCTAACGGACCAAAAGACGGTGTCGCAGCACCCTGGCAGATTCTGGACACTGACTTGTTTCGACGATTCCCGTTAATTCCGAAGGGCTTTTGATGTGAGACCACTTAGATTGGCTTCTTTATCAAATTAGCTTTCCATCCACATGTGGATCGTCGAAAACGGAGTCTGGATGCATCATGGGTGACCAGTTTAAGGCAGACTGGTCCTGAAGGCCGAGGCAAACTCGAACTTGAGTTGCTTTGGGCCTCCACCTCGGGGACTCGAACCGAATTAGCCTCGGACCTCCTTCTTGACTTGAACACCCTTGCTGGCCTCCTACCCCTCCATACCATGCGCCAAACATGGTCATATGCATGGGTGTCATGTCCTCATCATCTTCTCACTTGAGGCTTCCACTAGTTCCATGCTTATATCACTTTTCTCGAGGGAGGAATATAAGCACCATGCAAAGTCCCCGCCTGAAAAGTATCGTTCTTCAATGATGCCAACAAATGAGTGTTGAAACGAAAAGAGTTCAGTTTTTTTTGGCCATGCTGTGGTGTGAATGATGAAATTATTTAGAGAAATATTCTCATGACCTATATCATGAGTCACTGAAAATATAAGTATGTACACTTGTTATGGTTTGGTACCCCAAAATTTCAATGCTACCCTGGTGGCCTGGTGTTCTGTATGCAAATACATCTTTACTTTATATTCTCTTACCGAAGAATCTGCTAAATATTCTCTTGCTTACAAATTGAGCTGACATTAAAAAAATTGTATTCTTGAAACTGCTGTGTTCATTTAGGTTCTAGTTTACCCCTACACCATTTCTGTCTGAGTCTGCCCATTCCTGTGATTTTCTTCCATATATTGAACCTCATGTGGAAATAATGGGTGATGCCTGTTGGAAGAGGGTATTTATCTCATGAGTGATACAAGTGTTGGCAATGGAGGAGGTAAGATGCGCACGCACACACCAGGAGGTTGGTATTGTAATGTACTTGCCGGCATCAGATGTTCTCCAAAGGAAGGAAATTACAGAGGAGTTCTTCAATTATAGGAGCCCGACACAAGCAAATCTCTGGGATGATTATTCTGCAATGAACACTGGGCCAAAACTGAGGTACCAATTTCTACTGCTAGTTTCAATATTTTTTTCAGACACTATTTCTGTTCTTGCCTAGACTTATTTTAACATATGAATGAAAATAGCATCAGTCTTGATAATTTCAAAAAGTATGACCTCTTCACTTGCACGAATACCTGGCTGAGCTCTTTACACCTGGATAAAATTCATGCCTGGTTAGCAGATAGAAGCTGGCTAGCTGATCAATCCAACTACCGAAACATCGATTTCAGTTTACAGTTGAAGCTGGCTAGCAGATAGATCCATTGTCCCTTATTTTCAATTTTAAGTCTATTGTTTTGCTATGCAGAGTTCAGACAATGTAATGTACAAGTATGCACTATGAAGTACACTTGATAACTCATGAAAAATTTGCACTAACTGCTTGCTAACATCATCTTCTGTTCTAGTGTTCCAGTGGTGAAAAATTTCAGAGGCTAAAGTTTCACTGATGTTAGCAAGGAAATGACAGACTAAAATTTCACTTTGAAGTAAATTTTTGATGGAATACTTATAATCTCACAACACTGTCTCTGTCAAGTATGACCCAAGATGATGAAAAGTCTGAACATCTTGCTGCCATGAAATGTTTCAAGAAGACGCTTTTTCCTGAAAGCGTATAAGTATGTATACTCTTGCCCTTCCTGCTTCCTGAAAGTATATAAACATATAAGTTTGAACATCTTGGGTCAGTGTCATTTTGTGGGTGACGCCTTTTCCTGTTTTGATGTTATATGCTTGATAGCCGGTTGCTGTTAATTAGCTAAGATCTCAGATGGTCTTGTTTCTTGCAGTTATAACTACCTGGAGAAGCAGAAGATCAATATGAGGAACATGTTACCTGTCTAGCAAGCTGTTGTACCAGATAGCCAGCTGTTGTTGTGATCATGTCTCAGGTCATGATACCTGTAATGTTGGTCATGATACTCTGTAACCATGAGACCCGGTCGCTGTACATTTTTTTCTCAAGTGTGAGCTCTTTTCTTGCTAGTGTGAACTGATGTTGCTGAGTGCAATCTGCTGCCGTGAGGATGAACTAGTATGAACTAGATGCTTTTATGAAATGGTAAACTAGTATGAACATGCTGCTTGTATGAACTGGAGAACTGCTACTGACTATATGTTTTAAATCCTAACGCCTCTGTTCCAAAAGAATATTATTCTAGGTTTGAACTAACTCAATTTTCATGAAGTTGACTAGGTTTATCGAAAATATTATCATATTTATATCTCCAAATATGTTTATTATGAAAATATACTCCATAATTCATCTAATGATACTTATTACGCATTAAAAGTATCAGTACATTTTTGTATGTATCTAATTAACTTTAAGGTTTATTGACTCCTCGAAAATTAAGAATGACATTCCTTTTTAGAACAGAGTGAGTTACCTCCCAGTGTACTGCACTTAACTATGGAAGCAAATCGTGTTCTTGGTACAATAGCCCAAATAAACTTAACGTGTGTTCTCCATGACCTCATAAAAAATTAATTGAACCTAATAAATAGCGACCAAATATCTCATATACGTTCAGAGAGTGCAGCTCGTGTTGTATCACTTGATCGATAACTCTGATGTGTGATTCCAAACAATTATATACGTTGTTCGACAGAACTGAAAAATAAGCCAAAATACTGTTCCGGCTGATTGTTGTGAGGGAAAAATACCGTTCTGTCTGAAAACACTGTTCATGTGAAAAAAAACAATTATATACCTGGGAAAAAATTACCAGAATGCTTTAAACTTGACTCCAAACCTTCCTATTTCCTAGTATGATTTCCCAGCCATTATTTGTTTCGATGAATTGCTATATTTTGTTGTGCAGTGAGCCATACTTTCCAGACTGCAAGCACAAGTTCTGGCAAGTCATGCATGATTAGGCTCGCGGCACTGAAGAATTCATCTGGATTCCTCGTCAATAACAACTGCGTCATTGGTGTCAAGTTCATTAAAGTTGTCACCACAAAAGCAAAGACGACATCAGAGAAACTCTTTGTCAAGAATACGAGCACCTTGCCCGAGGCCAAATCTGCTTACACCTGGTGCATTGTGGACTTCTTTGGAATGAAGAACCCAGGGTACTCCCCGGAGTTCACCGCCGGTGGATACAAATGGTAGGGTGATTTCATCTGGATTTCCTTTCCTTGATTCAAAACATGGTGTAAATGTCACTCGTGCATTTGATCACTAGAGATTGGGAGGAGTTGCACTCATTCATGCACGATCGGTTCTTGCAGGTCGATTCGCCTCGATAAAGAAGAAAACCACATCTCCTTGTACCTGAAGAAGATGATAAATGATCTCCCCGAAGACTATGCCATCCTGGTTGAATTCACCTTATCCATCAAAAACCAGGAAGGTCGCAAGCATTTGAAAACAACAGGTTTGCTATTTAGTACAAATTTGCTTAATGGATAGGTCTCCGGATGCTAAATTGTTTTCACATATTTAAACCCTTCTTTTGCTGTTGGGAATTGCAGGCCGGACCCAGTTCTCAAACAATGTTCGGATCTGGGGATGGGAGAACGTTGTTTCAATGGAGGATATCCAGGACTCATCAAATGGTTATCTCATCAAGACCAAGTGCTGCATTGAGGCTGAGGTCAAAATCGTTGGCTCCTCTAGGATGAAGTAGTTTCAGTAATATAATTGTATCTAGTTATGCCAAAAATTTACTTATCTCAAAAAATAGGCCCTTCATTCATTTTGTCAAGGACACCAAATATTCGTGCTTGTTGCATTTGGATGGGATCTTAATTGCTGAAATATGCAGCTGAGCGATTTTTTGCAGCAGTCGTTTGCTATCGATTTTTGTTAGCTCTGTTTCTCTTCTGAACAACACACTAGTGGCTACTCCTACTCGAAGTAATCTACTCTGTTACTGAAAGTTACAAAAAGAGCTTAATTTTGCCGGTACTGAAAGTTTCACAGTATAAGAGTAGTTGCGACTACAAACATCTCCCATTAACATCATCAGTTGGTACTTGGTAGAAATACCACTTAAATCAGATTTAGCTCATGCGTTCAAAAAAAAAAAATCAGAGATAGTTTAAGATATATGTGGGAGGATAGACAGCAAACTCGCCAACAATTGCACCAATTTACAGTACAGTGGTCAAAACATGCATCACATACACCATCAAATGTGGTTATTTGTTTCCTAGAACTAGAATACGCAGTGCGTATCACTACATTAAGAAGGGAACATAAAAAGTCTTATACAACGCGATTGCTCAAAGGCATCTTTTCCAGCAGCTTCTATCCTATACTCATCGTGATCATGCAAAAATACCACCACAGAAACTACTGTGGGCTCTACCTAAATTCAACAAAAAGCAACACACCGTGAAAGATTGACCGTGCCATCATCATCAACTAGCAGGCATCTTCTCAAAACCAGAATGGAGCAACAAAACTCAGTATGTGCAGTCACTGCACCAATAAAACTTTCTGGCCATGACCCTAGAGTGACGCAATCACAGAGGTTTTTATCCATACATACGCTCATCAAACATGTAGAACAACAGTTTTGGATATGTAGTTACTAATGATTCATTCGCCACGTGGTACATCATATATGCGATGCTTGCCATATGGATACTATAAGGAGTATTATATAGCACCACTAGTTTATTCAACAATCATTCGAGGTGAGTTTAACAGCCAGCCTACTACATTACTTGACACTCAAATATAGTTGAAATTAGAATTTTGTATAGTAACATTTTAAACAAAAACTCTTGATTTATAGTGTAATAAAAATAAATTACTTATACTCAAATATGGTTGAAATTAGAATTTTTTTACCTACTTTGGGATGAGATAAAATGGAGATGATGACATGCCATTAGTATATTGGATAAAATTTGAGTGAAAGGAAAAACAAAAAATTACTTGATTGTTGGATATACAGTTCCTTTCTTTCTTTCTTTTTCCCTTCCGGACAATGATGTCTTGGACAACAAAAACCACTTTTCTATTAGAATATAAATGAACATCCTAACGAATTTATGTTTTTATGAAAGTTTTTTCATGGAAAACCTGTGCATATGATATTCAAGTTCCTAAAATAAATAATTAAAATTTTATTATTAGTAATCAAAGTTATAAAAGTTTGACTCAAACTCCAAAATATCATACGTGCAAACCATACAATTTCTCCTATTCCAATTCCTTCTTACTAAATTATATTTGTAAGAATAACACCCTTTTTAAAAAACCACAAAAAGATTCTTTAGTCGCCAAACTTTCTGAGAAACCTTTGTCCCTAGAGTTTATTGAGAAAAAACTATTAGTTCGAACAAGTAAAAAAGTATCCCTTCCTACGTGTAATTCAATGTTTGCAAATCTTGTTACTATGTCCTAACAATTTATTACCTAGTAATGCTCTTCTAGAGAAAACATTGAGTTGTTGCAATAGCGGTTTGTTTTCACTGAACTATATTATACAAGTTAGGATATTTGGGTCTTAAGATGACTCTTGAAGCTATTTTAAAAGATGAACTTGTTAGAGGTACCATGATGAAAAATAAAAAAAGCATATTTATAAGTACAAAACAAATCATGATAAATGAACCCGAGAAACATGGAAAGGAAAATTCCAAAACTATTCACAATAATAAACTGCCCTTTTGCTTGTTACTCAATCCATCCCAAATTGTAAGACGTTTGACTTTTTTGACACCAAGTTTGACCACTTGTCTTATTCAAAAATTTGTGTAAAATATCACTTCTTTCGTCATGGTTTGGTTTATTAATAAAAATTCTTCAAGAATGACTTAAATTTGACTATATTTGCACAAATTTTTTGAATAAGACGAGTGGTCAAACTTGGGGCCAAAAAAGTCAAACGTCTTACAATTTGGGATGAAGTACTTGTGTGTGTTGGTTACATAGCTTCGCTAGCTAGCGGTTCGTTTGGTACGGAAGTCGTTTCTTGTGTGGGGGACATTTCCAGTTTTTTCCCCATGGTAGTGAAGAAGCCGTAGCCGGTAAAGGAAAAAATAGTGATTTTATTGACTCCTAATTTATTTTGAGAGAAGAGAGAAAAATAATTCTTCATTATAGTGCATGAAGAGGTCACAGCTAGAGCCATCTAGAGTTCTACCAAGCCAGACCTAATTCTAATTATTAGGTGAATAAAAGTTCCCCCTGATTTAAAAAAAAAAAAAAAGTTTAGCAACGTCTGATTTCAAAATCATCTATAATAGAGATTCTCCAGTTTGTCCTAAAATTAATGTTTTTGAACATTATTAGTCTTAAGTATTATATTACTGTCACATCACACCATTTTTTAGGGTATGTATCGGGCGACAGTGAATGAATGACGATGTCAATCATCTTCCTCCTCGTGCCCCCTCCTCGTGCCTGCGCCTTCCTCCTCCTCGCGCCCCCCGGCCAGCCTCTGCTCGGCGGCACCACACCTCCTCATCGTCCTCGCCTCGCCGCTGCCCACCTCTCCGCCATGACGTGCTAGGGTTTCGTCAGGCGCCAAACATGAGAGCTCTGGCAAAACCTAAGCGCCCATGATGACCGCCTTCTTCCCCCCCCTCATTCTGCGGCGAGCTCCGGCCATGTACGCCCTGCCCCAACTTGCCCCCCGCCTCCGCCGCCACTAGGACCCTAAGCCGTCCTCTCCCGTCCCCCACCGCCCCCACCCCAAAAAAAAACTTATAAGCCCGTCGGAGCCCTAGCCTTGTCGAACCCTAGCCCATGCCGCCCGTTGAGGAAGAAGAGCGTGGAGAGATTGTGACCGACGGAAAAGCAAAATTTCCTGCAAAGGAGTAATTCTGTTTTTTTAAGGGCTAACCTATATTCAATTTCCTGCAAAGGAGTAATTTCGTTAAGAAGAGTGACAGCCTGCTCGTTTGGCTGTGGCTTGTCGTAAATGATCGTAAATTTTCAGCAGAACAGTATTTTCTCTCTCACAAATCAGCCAAAGATTATTTCTTTACAATCCAAAGAACGAAACGAGCTATCCAACCGATCAGGCCGTGAGATTCCGCTTGTACCCACCCAAAACCCCAGCCCACCCAACCCAAGAACGAAAATGGATCCGAACCAGTTCGCCCCCTCCCAGCAATCGGCGCTGACCATGGACTCGGCGGAGAGCACTGCCGCCGCAGCCGCGCGCGCGCCCAACAGCGCCGCCCGGGCCGTCGATGGCCACGACGTCGACGACGACGACGACGCCGTCCCCGAGGTGGCCGCCTGCATATCGACGATGCTCGACCGCGGGGGCAGCGTGGAGAGCCACCGCCTCTTCCTGGCGCGCCGCACCGCGCTGGAGATGCTCCGCGACCGCGGGTACGCCGTCCCGGAGGACGAGCTCGCCCGCACCCTCCCGGAGTTCCGCGCCTGGTGGGAAGACAAGCCGGAGCTCGAACGCCTCGCCTTCTCCACTACCCTCGCCTCCGACCCATCCAGCAAGGTGGGGTTTTTTATTTTCTTCTTTTCAGTTACTTATTACCCCATGGTATCATACTATCATCATCGGTGTGGCATCAGATGTTCTTGCATTAGGGTTAGAGTTAGATTCGTGTTCTAGCGCACGATTTCAACCTGCATTCGGGTCCTGCTCCATCAAGTCTGGTTTTATACTCCTGATAACCTCCCGAAATTAAATAGGTTGTTAGTACTCATTAGTGCACTAGAACCCAGTTATGCTCAGATAGGCATTGTGGACGGAGGTACTGCAAAATTGAAGAGTTTGGGAGAAAGAGGCACATCGGCTCTTCCCTACCCTTTCTCACCGATTCACCCTTACTTGCTGTTTGCTGATGTTAGGTGTGGTTGCTCGTACCGCTTAGGGACATTATTATTCTTATGCTTATGATTGCCAGGGTTGGCACCATCATGCAACTGGGATGGTATGAACCAATGTTTTCAGTTCAGATTATCGAGGCTAGTCGTATGACCACCGATCAGACGAAGGGTTCGATTAGTCGGTCCTAATCGGGTCTAATCGGCTAGTCGAACATTTAGTCGTCCTTGTGCCTAGATGGCCTGATCGACCATGTATATACTATATATATGATGTAAATATATGTAAACATGGCCATAATAAATAGGTAAATGTTAGAGGCAAGCAACCAAGCACAGTTTGGCATGTAATCATGTTTGCAATGAATCATTATCATGGTGATTTGGCCACTTACCTGTAACTTTGTGGAGTACTCAAGAGTGGGCTGTGACATCTTGGACTTGTGCCTTTCTGCAACCACTTCTTCTGGACTCTTGCAAAGCAAAGAACTCACTGACTTGGAATGCTTCTGTGTTTGAGGTTTTGGTGGAGCAGAAACCACAAAGTTCGTGATTGATGCTTGAGCTATCTTTTTCGCTTGCTTTGATTTTGTCCCAGAACTTGGAACTTGCTTTGACTTTGTCCCAGCCTTTGGTTCATTTTCAGCAGCAACAGAAGCACCACCTCCACCTTGATCTGTTTCTTCTTCTGCTTCTGGCTCCACCCCAAAGTCCGTAGGTACCTGAACCTGAGTCCTTGACCTTGTGACCAAGTAACCATTCATCTCATGCCTAACTAGCTCAGGTTTGCTTCACCACATTTCACTGCATCAGAATAGCCCCAACAAGGTGTTGCTTGAACCTTTTAATGCTTGTAGGGACAACCTTTTTGCAGAAAATACATTGGATGAACTCTTTCTTCCCTATGTCTGGCCAAAACCCATATTTCCATCCAGGATCTGATGATTTTGCCTTCATCTTCTTATCTTCAGCCATGGCAGCAAGATCTCAAGCGGCAATTTAGCTATCGCTGAGCTATCGAGATGCTTCATTGGAGCAATTGATGACGCCGAGGCAGCCGATCTGAGACAGCTTCATTCTCGTGTAGAATTACCTCAACAATCGTGACGCCGTCGAGCATCCTCTGCAGAGAGCGGCACAGCACACAAAATGTGTCACAAATTGGTGGCAACAGGCAATACACGAGCAAAGTAGCAGAGACATAGACAATAACCTTGAGGAGCCAGAGTGGTGGCTCATCTTGATGCTTGAGGCCTCCGCGTCCGTCCTCCAGGCGTCGAGGAAGGAGCTCAGAGCGACAGAGCCTCGAGGCGGGCGGAGCTACTGGGTCCCGGTAGGGAGGAGACAGGAGCGGACGGAGGTGGAGGCGCGAGGCGGAGCTGCGGACGCCGGCGAGAGGCGCGGACGGAGCTGCGGACGCCAGCGAGGGGCGCGGACGGAGCTGCGGACGCCGGCGAGGGAGATCCAGAGAGGCAGGCCGCGGCGGAGGAGACGCGGGCGGAGGTGCCGGGCGGCTGCTGAGAGAGCAGCGAGCCAGGCGGGAGCTGAAATGTGTGGGTGCTGCAGCTTCTTCACTAGGTCACTCACTCACTCCTCTTCTTCTTACCCTAATGGGCCAGCTAAAGGTGGGCCAATTTCTTTAGTCAGGCAATTCTCCCTACCCAACTAGTCGTTCGGCTAGTCTGATCGGACGACTAATCATGATTAGTCGCAACTTATCGGACGATAAGGTTTCTAATCGGTCTAAACTAATCGAGGGCCCTTATCGAGCACCTAGTTACGATAAGGACGACTAATCACGATTAATCGCGATTAGTCATCCGATCTGAAAACACTGGTATGAACTGCTTAATTTGTTATGTATGTATCTACATAAGTTAAATGATTGTGTGCATAGGTTAGTACAGGTGCTTTTATCTGTTGTCTTTTCATGCAGATAAGGTGCTTGTTTATACCAATTGTTCTTGCCATAAGTGAAGTGAGTAAAGGATGTGTCTCCACTATGTGTTATGCAGGTGAAAGTTGTGTTCTGTCCACCCGAACCTGTCAAACTCGCGGCTATCCGGGTGGTATATACCGGAGTTAAAGACGAGAACTTGTCCAGACTGATTCTGATCCTGCAGGGCAGAATAATGTCTAAAGCCAGAGAAGCTATCAAGGAGATCTTTCCATTTAAAGTTGACACGTTCAGGTCAGGTTTTGTCTAATCTGTTGGCTGCTCTTCACATTTTGTTCAGTCTCTTTAAGTGAGTAACAACATGGATTCTTTCGGTTGTAACTACACTGCCCAATCTGAATTTTCACTGTTTGTTCTTCTGCAAACTATGATCTTAACATCAAGTGTTCATTTCGAAGATTGCAACTTTCGGAAGATCATGTAAAGTTGTATTTTGCTGTTTTATCTTGTATTTATTCCTGTATTCAAATCAATGTGCTCTTCCAATGATAGATCACGGAATTACTGGTGAACATCACTAAGCATGTCCTCAAGCCCAAGCATCAAGTGTTGACTGCAGAGGAGAAAGCCAAGCTCCTGAAGGAGTACAATGTGATGGATGCACAGGTATGCTTCTTTCTGAAGTTACTTATTGATAGTTTCTTACTGCTTTATTATACTGGAATTGGAAGTCATGGTGCCATGTGAATTTTGTAGCCTTCTTTTGTTACATCTTGTGGAAAACAGCAATGCAGCCTGGTGATTGCAGTCAGTTGTTGCTTTTCATCATACTTGCTAAGCTGCTGTAACACCATAATTTCAGCACTCGATTTTGTTTGCAACATGATCATGGCCATATGGGATACTGCAGTCTGTTAGTGTGCTTTCTGGGTGTGATGATTGACATTGCTGATAACTTATGAAATTACCATGCTGACCGCATTGGTCACATGGAAATATTGATGGTAATTCAGTGAATTCCATCATTTATATTGTGCTTACAATGCTGTTGTGTTTATGCGTCTCTCACTAAAATGCAACTTGGTGGCATTGAAACTGAAGATCCTCCCATATTTTCATAGTGGAGCACTGTTATCACATTATAAAGAATTTTTTTAATTGCAGTGTCAAGTTTATTTCACCTTCTATTTATGTGTGTTCTAATTATATATTGCTGCCTCCTTACATAATGATATGCAAATCAGAAATTAAAAATATGCTTGTGGCTGTGGAGGGGATACTGATCTCATTTATTTTGGCTAGTTTATTCTTAGCATGCCTCAGGTGCAATTCCCACTTATTATTAGCTTGTTGGTGTTTCCCTTGGTTATTTCTTTTGATGGAGCTAGCCTAACTTGTGGCAAAGTAATTTCATGCCACTTCACTGAAACTGGTGCTTGTATCTTTCAGCTGCCTCGCATGCTGGAGAATGATGCTGTTGCTCGCTATTACGGACTAGGCAAGGGAACTGTTGTTAAAGTTATATATGACAGCGAGCTTACTGGGAACCATGTGACATACCGTTGCATTTTCTGAGGGCCCATGCATTTCGGTGGACGAAGGTCTCATAAGCAGTTTGTAAAATTACCTCTCAGAGGGGCAGGTGATACGGTTCTGCTAGGCCAGTGTAAGCACCCAATTATGTAGGATGAACCTTGCTGTAAGCTATTGGTGAAATCATCTTGCACCTAAGTGCTTGTTTACTGTCTAAGCTTAGAAACAGTAAGAGTGTAAGACAACTAATCCTAAGTTATCTCTGTCACTTTTGGATGTCTCCGATGACCTGCTAGAGCTGTTATCATAACTGTCCTCTTATAACTGAGAACTGAGATGTGTTACAAAATCACTTGATTCGAATCTAGCAGTGTCCAGCTATGGATTCCATTATATTTTGCAAATCAGGGGGCAAACATCTGTGTTACAAAGCAGTAGGCCAAAAGCTAAGTAAAAGAAAGAACAAAGAGAGGGGGGGGGGGGGGTGGGGGGGGGAGAAGAAAGGGGGGTTAATTGTCCTATGATCAGTCTGCAGCTAACTGTGTCTTGGTCTGTTTTTCTGGGGCAAAATTTCCTCGTTGTCCTCTGCCTTTCGCTTTCGGCTGCTATCGCTGCTGCTGCTCTTGTTCGTGGGGCTACTGCAATCGTTGCTGTTGCTGTCACTCTGCTGGTGCTGTTGTTCCTGCTGGTAGTGCTCCCTGCATCTGCTTTTCAGTATGTGGGGCTTGAGCTTGCTCATGTCTGATAGCCGCACTGGTTTTAGGAAAAACTCATCCGCTCCTTCCTCCAGGCATCTGATTCAAAATGTAATTGAGAAGTGAGTCAGTGATTTGTATATCTCTTTACCTAAATTAGATCTGATGCAAGTAATAATATGTCTTCCTTTTTTTTACTTTTTTGTGTTTTTATCTTTATTACACTTGTCCATTCACAAACGTCATATCTTTTAATTCTTTATTTGACTTCTTTCCTGCCGTCTGAGTGTTTTTTATGTATGTTTCCTCTGTTTGTGCACCGTGCAAGTAGACAGAATAAACCGGGACAAAGACGAGTGGTGCTTGCTAGTGAGCTGTCTGCATCAATAAGCCTGTTTCATGGATACGGCAATATGGAAGGAAGATCTACAAGATCGATGTGCTCATTATTCCATATCTTTTCTTCTTTTTTTCTTCTTTTTTTGTTTATTATTAGACAGCAAACATTTCGAGATTATACTAAGCCGGTGTGTGAGCTGTGTCATGGGTGGGGCGGTTCCTCTATTATACTACAACACATGTGGCACCGAATCATTAAGGATTCGGAGAGATTTCCATATCCAATTTGGTCCAAAGCTATTCATTTCTGTCTCCATAGAGAGAGAGAAAAGGAACTTCCTTAGCTCTCTAAAAGTTTCTACTAATTGTCAAGTAATTCCTCAGCAAGAGTATGCTGTCAGTCATGCAGGAACATAGTAAATGGGAAGAGCTGTTCTCATGCTGTAATTCTACTTAGCTTCTCACTGCTCTTTTGTCTTTGTACACTTAACTTTGATTTCCTTTTTCCTTCATAAACACCAGGAGATGATCTGAAACAAATTACATAGAGATCCATAAGATTGCTCACCTATTGATCCTTGAAGGGATGTTCTCCGACGACATGATCACGACCGGGATATCCCTAAGAGACGACGATTCCTGCTTGAACAAACCAAGCATGCATCTTCATTAGACCCTGCTATATATCTTCAGCAGATGATACACCAAGAAACACTAGACAGAACATGGCTGTTATTGCATACCTTGATCTTCTTGAGCAGATCATACCCTGTCATGCCGGGCATGCAGTAGTCCGTGATGATTAGGTTCACCGCGACATCCTGCTTATATGACCCACAAAGAAGCAAGACCAAACACATCAGAAACCTTTCGTCAGACTAGCAGGAACAGAGAACAAACAGCTGCACACGACGATCTGTTCATCTTTCTGCTTACCAGCTGGTGCGCGTGGACAGAGACCGTGCTGGCGTCGTCGTCATGGATCCCCAAGAACTGCAGGGCTTTGCTGCCGGAGTCGACAGTGGTTACTGCAGAAACAGAGCCACAACTCTCCATGAGACTGAGATCCGTCCAGGAGCGTGCAGAGCAGCTGCAGGCACATGACTGACACTACCTTGGAAGGAAGAGGTCTTGAGGAGCCTCTCGATGAGCTTCCTGTCCGGGAGGCTGTCGTCCACGGCCAGGACATGGAACGGCGTCTCCGAGGCCACCACCGCCATGGCAGCAGAAGCAAGCAAGAGGGCAGGACGGCGAAGGAAGGAGGATGCTATGGTATGAGGTAGCAGCAGCAGAGGGAAAGTGAGCTTGGCATGAAAGAGCTTCCTTTGCTTGCTTTTTTTGAAGGGGTGTGCTGGGTGTGGTTGAGTTCACGTATACCCCTATATACACACACTACACTATACACAAGGCAAGCACATGAAAGGATTCCAGGAGATATGAGGGAAAGCGATCCAAGGAATAGAGAGGTGGAAAGAAAGGGAGGAGGTGCGTGTGATGACCAAGAAAATCCCAGCGCATGGAAAAAGCAAGATCCTGGGCGGATTTGCTCCAAATCTTGCCAGGAATTGACTCCTTCCATCCACGTCCATCCACGATACGGGTACATACAGTATATATATATATATATATATATAAGAGGGAGAGACAGGGACGTCCGGGCCGGGGCAGGCAGCAGGCAGCAGCAGCATCTTGAGCCGGACCCTCCGAAAATCCTGAATTCTGGAGCCTTTCACAGGGTCCACCACCATTTCCTCGTGTTCCTCGCCCTTTTCTGCTGCTGCCGCTGTCGCCGCGAGCGAGTGGTATCATCAACTGGATTTGGTTCACTGGTTTTTTTATGAGCTCTTGTTGCTGTTGCTGACCGGAAAGAAAGGGTGAAAGATACGGCCGGATCGGTTTTCTGTGATTTGGTGAATCGGCAGGAACTTCTGCATGGCATCTGCTTGTGGTTGCTGGGAAATTCGTTAGGATTTGCTGCACTTGTGTGCATGGCTGCTTGCTTGTTTATTACGTACTAAATCCAAAGGGAGCAGCACTCGTGTAGAAAGTACTATATTATATATTCAGCCTTGTGCTCGTTTGCCACGAGCAACACTATTCTGTTTATTCGCGACACGCTAACTCGCTAAGTGTGGCGGCTAGCCAAGTAGCCATGCATGGCAGTGGCTCGTTCTGCGTGGCAGTGAGAGGTTGCAGATTGACAATTGGTGTATTCTTTAGTGCCGACACTACTGGAATCCACTTGTTTCTCTATGGCCGAAAACCCTAGGGAAAGGCTTAAATACCCTAGTTTCCCTAGGGGAGTTCGTCAAGATCTCTACGTAGGGAACGTTTTCATGGGAAACTAAGAAGTGCCCTAGGGTTTCAACGGAAAACCCTAGGGAAATCTGTTGACGTGCCACTTGAGTGCCTACATGTAAAGGTCATTTCCCTAGGGGCAGAGTTTTGTAGGGAACAAATAACATGCCGATCATAATATTGAAAAAACAATATATATTTGAATTCAAATACAAATTTAAACATAACATAGCACACATGCATTGTTTCCATTGGGATTCAACATTTATTAATCCATAATATCATTTTAAGTTGCAATATCTCATTACAGGCACTAACCCAAACAACACTTGTGCCATCAAAATGACCAAAGGAGTAAGAGAGCGGCACGAGGCGTTGGGAGGCCGGGTGGGCGGCTTAGGGCGGGCAGTGGCTGGCCCGACGTCGTCAAAGGGGCAAGGCCACGTCACGCAGGGGGCCGGCGGAGGGCGGGCGGGCGGCGTCGCATAGGGAGCCGGTGGAGGGCGGGCGGGCTGCGTCTCGCGGGCGCCCGACGGTGCGCAGGAGGATGGGTGGTGACGGTGGATCTCCGGATCTATGGGTCGCCTGGCGTGGGAAAAAATTTGGCGCGGGGAGAGAGAGGGTGGCGGCGGGGTCTAGGTTTGGGAGGAAAAGGATTGGGAGACGCGCACGCGGAGATGGATGGCGGCGAGATGGAATAAAATGTTTAGTTCCCTAGAGTATGAATGGAATTACTAGGGAAATATTGCATCGTGGCATAAACGTGGCAGACAACCAATCTAGCTCCCTGAGGAAAACTGAAACCTCTAGGGAAACTTCCACGTTCCCTAAGGTATCAACTAAAACTCTAGGGATAAAAATTTTTCCCTAGGAAAGTTGTTCAACACTAAGGAAACGAAATAACCCTAGGAAAATACTTTTATTAGTTGTTCAATTAATTTGTTTCTCGTTTTGGTTAATGTCGTGCTGCCCGTGCTCTCAGAAGCATTGTTACTCTGTTGTTGTAATACGTGGTCTAAGTTTTTTTTTCTACTTTTATTGTAGTGTTGTAGTGTCCGCTTTGGCACGATTATTCTCGCGATATCGGATAATAAGCTGGAATAAACGGGGCCGTGGTAGATGATGGATGTCGGTCCTGTCCCCATGGCATGCTCTTGTCCGCGTGTGGCTGGCCGATGACGTGGTTATGAGCAAGGGCAGTTTAATTGGCTACTGTACGAGTACGACCGCATTCTGTGACGGGAAGATCGAGAGAAATAAAAGAGCTGATGAGCTGCACTGGCTCTTCCACGCGAGACACTCGCGTTCCATGCATCGGCGTCAGAAGGATGGTGTGTGTGTCCAGGGGTAGCAGGAAGAGTCAGCCAAGGAATAGAGAGGTGCCAACCCGTCCTGCCTGCAGTGAGTGAGTGTGAGTCCTCGGCGCGCGCTACCTGCGCTGTTTCCACGTGGCTACCAAGTGTAGCCCAGCGCCCGAGTCCCCAGCCCCAGGCAGGCACGCCGCACGCCAGCAGCCGGCTCCGGCCTCTACTACATGACACCTGCTGCTGGCCTGGCCATCACCGGCAGTAGCAGAGGCCTGTGCGGCTTGCTTGCTTGGTCGTCGCCGCTTCATCCATCTTCACCTTCGGTTTCTACTGCACGCTAGGGTTTCGGCGTCAAAACTGCTTTTATACGTACGTACTTAGATTAAATCAGACAGACCAGCAG